AATATTTTGTATAGGAATGCACATCTTTTAATAAGACTGATTTACCCTAAATTTATATATTTTAATATTTTAAAGGAATTTGTTTTCTTAATCCGTGTGATTTGTTTCTTTTAATCTCAATCATACATCATTCTGATTTAATGCTCTAGATTAGTCCTCACGTCCTCACCTAAGATTAGGTCCTCACCTGATCCGGACCCTATATATATATATATATATATATATATATATATATATATATATATATATATATATATATATATATATATATATTATATATTTTTTCTTTTTTTAGTTAAGGGCAGGTTTAGAAATTGGAAGAATATTTTTTTTTTAGAAAAATTATTATTTTTTGAAAATATTTTTATTTTATTGTATTTGTCTAAAAATAAAATATAATGTATTATTGTGTTTGGTTTATTTTTTTAAAAATGAATAGAAACATATTACAAAGTTATTTCTTATTAGGTAATATTAAATTATTATTATTATATTTAAATAAGTTAAGAAATAATAAATAAATAAAGACTACAAGTTGTAAAATTCATATTAGATTCAAATAAGCAATTATTATCCTATATTTCTATTCATATGGAGAAAATTATATTTATATTGGAAAAAAAAAAGCAAATGATAATTAAAGTAAGAATTTTGAATTACATATAATATACAAAGTTATAAAGACAATTGGTGCAAAATCATTAAAAAAAAAATTAATATATGGGTTTTACACTATATATGATAACTATAAAGGTGAATTATAATTTTTAATATTTAATCATCAATGATAGAAGTTATTAATTAAATAGTGACAGTTATAACGGTGTAAGAGTAATTGTGCAACAAAAAAAAAATAATAAGGGTAATGTGGTCAAATAATAATATAGCGTACAATATTTGAAGTACAATGTATACATCTAATAATTAGAAAAGAAAATGGACAAAACCCAAGCATATAACCTGGATTGATATAAGAACAATTTTGTCCGATTAAAAAAATAATTGTACAATATTTGAAAAGTAACGTACAATTGTATCATTATAGAAATACAAACAAAAATTATTAAATCATATTGAGTCTTGTTCTAAATACTTCTAAATCATCAAAAGCAGATTAATTAAATTTAAAAAAAAAAAAATTTAACCAAGATTTGTTTTTTTTTTTTAAAAATGTAAGAAAATGATTTCCAAGGTTCCTTATTTGTAATCTTTGATGTTCAACTTTGAATGCTATATGTATAGTCTAGCTAATTAATTCTCCAAAGTTCATGTTAAATTTTATATTGTATTTTTTTTAATACACTCTAATATATTCATAGTATATATATGTTTAACAATTATGCAAATCTGATTGGGGTAAGGTTCTAACCTACGACTTTCCTTATTGAAATCAATGAGTAAGTTAAGAATAATAAATAGTTAACGAAATATTTCGTTACTAAAGTTTACATTGACGGAATGCGAAGTTATTTATGAAATTAAAGTAAATGATATAATAGATGGTAAAATTAAAAAAAAATACTAAAATCAAAATAATATTAACCATTCATTTTAGCAAACAATTGGACCAACATTTTTTAGTTTTTGTTATAGGTTTATCTTTATTGGCTCTTATTATTAGATTAGTAGATAGTAGAACATGTTATGAAATTAGTTATTTCAAAAACCATGTTAACTAGCTAATTAATTATAGTATATAATAAACTGCACATTTATCAATCCTTATTTTAATAGGATTATAATGTTAGGCGGAGGCTGGTAAATGTCAAATTTAGGACCCGGTGGTTGTGTGTCGTTGGGCTGAGGCTGGTAAAGGTCAAGTTCAATACCCAGTGTCTCAAAAATGTGTGGCGGTATAGGAATAAAGTCGTGTCTTCGCTACGAGCTATAACTTTTGGCATAGTAATAAGCGTTTGATCCTAACAATTAAGCAAGTGATATGCTGATATCAGAGCCATGTCATTTAAGATTGGTTGTTGCTGGGTGGGGGCAATTGTTAGGTGGGGGAATTGTTGAGCGAACATTGGTAAAGATCATCTTAAAAATGTGTGACAGTATAAAGCGACATGAAGAAATAAAGTAAATCGTCGCACCTCTATACCTTGTGATGATGAAATACTCTCCAATATTCGCATAAGCAGGTCAGGTTGTCATATAGGTAAAACTTAAAAACAGTGAAATACTCTCCATTAGCATCTGTTCCCAATTTTCAGTGACCTGTGCCATTTTTATTCAACTTGAATTTTATGTTGGAATGCAAGCAGCTTATAATTTTATTATAAAATTTTATGAAAGACACATATTCATTCTTCTAAAAGGCTGAACCCCAACCCTAAGGGCCCCCCACACCCCGGCCCGACAGAGCGGTGAGAGGTTGTAAATAATGGTGACTCAACTGAACATTAATCACAGAGGCTAGACCGGTACTCACTGCGCACAAGGAGCCCCCTCACTTTGAGAGGTTGCTCCCACACTGCCGCTGGTGAGACTCGATCCCTGGTCATTCTTCCAAAGTTTCGAAAGACACATATTCATGAAAGGATACAACGTAACTATTAATTCAAAATTAAATAAAATTATGATTCCTTAATTATCTTATCACAAGCTAATTAAGGTTGCTAATAAGACTAATAATTGTTTCAATAAAAAGAATATAATAATATTTGACTTGACAAATAAAAAAAAGCCAAAAATTGAAGACCTCCGATCTAGCTAACTCCTGTCACTGAGAAATTTGAAGATAGGGAGACATTTGTTTCTTTGTACATTTTCCAAAACCATAATGGGAGCTTTTGATTAGATGATAAGGACATTTGATTAAACATACTCCGTACTTGGTAAGAAAATGCATTTTGGAGAGTTTTTCCCTTAGATTTGACATTAGGGTAAGACAAAAGAAAAACAGAAGAATTGAAGAATTAACACAATATATACGTGACAAAAACATCCCTATTTATAGTGTCCAATATATCTTTTCATTCCTCTAATTTGTGAAATTAAGGGAGAGTAATGTGATTAATTATAACGAGTAGAGCAATCATAATGAAATTAAAATGGTACAATTATTTCGATCAATTATACCATTTTCACTAGCACCCTTTTAAGGACATCTCCAACCCAAGAAGAAAGAAGAGAATGAACGGAGAAAAAATGAGAGATAGTGGTTGGAGGGGAGAGAAAATAATTTTCTTGGAGAGAACTTTTTATCCGGAGCAATCATGTGTACGTATGTGTCTTGTGTTATGATTTTTTGTGTCTTGTATTATGAAATTTTGTACCTTACAAGTATGAATTCTTTACCCCGTCTTTTCAATCCAGTTAAGTCTATAATGCTATGATGTGTCTTTTGTTGTGATTTTTTGTGTTTTGTATTATGAAATTATGTATCTTACGAGTATTAATTATGTACCTCGTTGTTTCAATTCATAGTTCATAATGCTATGTAGACCCTGGTCAATGATTGTGTGTGTGCGTGTGGAAAAATTAGACGGCTCAGATAAGATGTTTTATAAAAAAATGCGGTGACATTTTTGTAATTATTATTAACTTTACTGTGCAAACTTTTGCACATCTCAGAATTTTTCAAGTTTGAAAATTTAGTATTAACATATTGCATATTTAGTATTAAAAGATTGTACTTGTAAAAATTAAATACGAAAGTGCATTGCACTTAGAGTTTGAATTTTAGAGTTTATGATTGAGTTTTCAATTTTTATTTGGTTTAGGGGTTTACATTTTACTAGTTAAGGTCAAACATTTACGGTTTAGATTTAAAATTTAACTTTTTCATTGATTTTTTAAAATTTATCCATGTTTACATATATTTAGTTAACTATTTCTTATTTAAGTGTTCAAGTTTGCAAAATGAAATTTACGTTAATTACAAAAATGTCACCGTATTTTTTTAAAACTCTGATTTGATCCATCCGATATATATATATATATATATATATATATATATATATATATATATTATGCTCTACAAGAAGCTAGGAGAAACAATGCTCGGAAAGACAAAAAATTAACTTACACAAAATTACTATTGTGCCACCACGTTTTTTTTGTTTTAAATAGCTTTATTTTGACCCTTGATCTGGACTGAGTCAATGGATGAGATTAAATCTTATTTTTCACCTAAGGGAGGCTTTTCACCTTATCAGTTATATATATAAGTCATGTTGGGCTAAGTGCGCACACTCTAGACGGTGTGCATTTGCATAGTAGACTGTGTGCATTCACGTTGTGTCTCACCGTCTCACGGGAAGATGTTGTCTCATTTGATTATATATATATATATATATATATATATATATATATATATATATATATATATATGCACATATATAATTTCACTTTTGGTCCCATGACTTCTGAAGTCTTATCACTTTTGGTGCACAACTTTAAAGTTTTTCAAAAGTGATAGAATCTCAAAAGTCGTAGGACCAAAAGTGAAATTATATATATTTAAAAATAGCCACATAAGGAGTGACAAAAATTGTGCAATTTTGTAGGGCTTGTTGTTGTTGTTGTTGTTTACTCACTTAGCGACTCAGCGTACATGTCCTTGTTGGCAATATATTATCCTTAAAATTACGTAATGAAAAATATTTCATGGACTCTAAAAAACATACTCTCAACTTTTGTGGACTGCTATCAATTCCACATTAATAATATTTTAATTATTTGTTGGTAACGATTTAAATATTTAACATTCTTTATCAACTTTAAAGATTTAAAGTTTCACCTACTTTTCCACTATTCTTACTTCATAGACATATATTATGGAATTAAACTTTTTTAATGGAAAAAAGATGTTAAGTCAACGTCAAGGAGACCACCAACAATTTTTTTTTTTCTTTTTGCTGAAATTTCAATGTAATTAAGGTTGGAAACATATTTCCTTGATTACTTTTTCACGCTAATTACCAATGGTGGGAGTAGTTTAGGTTGCGTTTTCACGCATCTTTTAAAACATTTATTGACTTTTTTTAGCACTTCTAGAAATGAACAAGTTTTCTCCATCTAAATTCCCAAAACAATTAAAAAAAAAAAATAGCTGTAAATTTTATTTTTAAAAATGAGAAAAATATCACAGTTTTCTACTTTTCTATAGGGCTTCTGCCTCTTATTTCATTGTTCCGTGAGTAAAATGACCAATATTACAATTATACCATATACATTTTTATTGTTAAGGTAATTACGTCTATGAGTCTCAATATTATATAACACTTTGATAAATATTTATTTTTAAAGATAATTATTATTGTTTTAAAAAAAAGATAATTATTATAATTATAATATTTACTTTGAAAATAATAAGTGTTAGAGTGACGTGACAAATATCATTACAATTGAGTTGAGTTTCAATAAATATTGATTAATTATTTAAGTTATTATACTCCAATAGTATTAACCAGTGTTGCAAAAATCACGCCTAAGCGTCAATTAATCGGCGCTTAGGCGCTAGGCGGTGGGAGGCCGCCGCGAGGAATGGCCTCAACGGCCTCCTCCGCGGCCGGCCGGCTAGGCGGTCTAGACCGGGCAGCTAGACCGCTAGGCGCCCCTTGGCGCCTTACGTTTTTTGCAACATTGGTATTAAAAGATGATTTTAAAAGATTAAGGGAAAATTACAGTTTTCGTCCCTAAGTTATAGAGTAATTGTAGAATTTGTCTCTGAGTGTTGGTCATGCTCACTTTTCGTCACTAAGTTATCATTGACGTTGCACTTTTCGTCCCTGAGTTATAGAGTAATTTTAGAATTCGTCCACGAGTGTTGGTCATGCTCACTTTTCGTCCCTAAGTTATCATTGACGTTGCACTTTTTGTCCCTAAGTTATACTAAAATTACAAATTTCGCCCCTAATCAATACTACATAAATGGTATACTACGTCACTTAATAGACGGGTTTTTTTTTTTTTTTTTAATAACCACCGTCTAGTTATATTACGTCACTTAATAGACGATGGTTTTTTTAAAAACCACCGTATATACCTTAATTATTTTTTTGGGAAAATGACACTTTTTCCCCCTGTGTTATATGCTTATAGCACTTTTTCCCCCTGAGTTATTCATGCATTCATATTTGCCACCTCAATTATTATAGAAGTGGCGGTTTTTCCCCCTGATAATATTAAATGGACATTTCTACCCTTAAAACAAATATTTTATTTATTTCTCTTCTTCACCAAATTATTGCTTATACGTAGGGATGACCACGGTTCGGTTCGAACTGAACCAAACACTATAACAATCAAATTAAAAAATTTCGGTTATGATTCATAACATAACCCAATATTTGGGTTTCCGTTTATTAAAATCGTGAACTGAAAAAAAAATGAATCCTGAACCGTGAACCGGAGGTTCAAATCGGAACAACTACTAGCAATAGCTTAAATTAGAATTATAATATTTGCAAATAGTGTATGTTTTTTTCTGCATTTATATTGAGTCTCACATATAAGTATATATAATCGCGATTTGAGTTTTATTTTGAACCGTCGATTCACGATTTTGGATCCAATTTGAACGGTTGGTTCAAACTTTCTTTTAAAATTTTATTTTTTATTTTTAAAATATTCTAAATTTAACACTTAATGTATTTTATTTTTTCAAATCGTGGTTATAATTTGTTGGAGAAGAAAAATAAATGAAATATTTATTTTAAGGGTAAATATGTCCATTTAATATATCAGGGGAAAAAACTGCCACTTAAATAATTTAGGGGGAAAAAGTTCTATAAGTATATAACAAAGGGGAAAAAAGTGCCATTTTCCCTATTTTTTTTACGTCATACACTTTAAATAACCACCGACGGTTTTTTTTTTTTTTTTTTTTTTTTTACACATACACAGCGATTTTTGAAGTGTCGCGCATGTAAGTGACTTCTGTTGTAAATATACACTTTCTACGGCGGTTTTGAAACCGCCGTGTATGTTAACTATATACGAACCGCCGTGTATGTCAACTATATACGGTAGTTATTTAAACAATCACCGTCTATTAAGTGACGTAGTATAACACAATATATTCGAAGACAGTTTTTTAAATAATCGTCGTCTATTAAGTGACGTAGTATACCATTTATGTAGTAGTGATTAGGGGCAAATTTTACAATTTTAGTATAACTCAAGGACAAAAAGTGCAACGTCAATGATAACTTAGGGACGAAAAGTGAGCATGATGACCAACACTTAGGGACGAATTCTACAATTACTCTATAACTCAGGGACGAAAAGTGCAACGCCAATGATAACTTAGAGACGAAAAGTGAGCATGACAAACACTCAGGGACGAATTCTACAATTACCCTATAACTTAGGGACGAAAACTGCAATTTTCCCAAAAATTAAATATTATTATTATTATTATTATTATTATTATTATTATTATTATTATTATTATTATTATTATTATTATTATTATTATTATTATTATTATTATTATATACTGACCTTAGATTTATGCTATAATAATATAATTTTTGATTGGATAAATAACATAGGTTGTCAAGCATCGTGCTCAGAGGACACCCATGTGGCTCTCATTGAGGGAAGGTCACAAGATTAAACTCCGGTGGTGGGGTATTGATTCTTTGACCTGCAACAGATAAAGAAAGTTTTAGAGTCATTAGTACTCAAAAAATAACATAAGCGATTTATTATGTATTAATTATTATTTGTTGCTCGAGCTCATATATAACACAAAAAATATTACATTTGACATAAAAAAAATATTACATTTTTCTTTATAAGTGCAACATTACTTATAAGGGAAAATATAATACTTTTACATCAAAATATAAAAGTATTATGTTTGTACTCAAAAGTATTACATTTTTCCTTATAAGCAACAAACATTTTATTCTTGATTTAATATTACATTTAGTAGTATAAGTATTACATTTGCATATTGACCGACCCGACTCATCTCACGAATAATAATCTGTGAGACGGTCTCGCATGAGTGTGACTCTTTTGTATTGGCAATGTGATTGTATAATTATTTTTATTGAAGTGATGACATCACTTGACTACTTAATATCTCATTTTTAATGACAGATCATTGATTTGTAAATGTAAAAAGTTACCAAATTAACCCCGTATCTTAAATATGTACTTTTTTTGGACTTGATTCACATGTGCTATAGCTTTGGGGGATGAATAGCTTAGATTAGTAATTAACTTTGATTTAGAGATGACAAGCTCTTTATGTTCACATATGCATATTTGATTGCCCTCTGATCACTTTTTTTTTTTTTTTTTTTTTTTTTTTTTAAAATTTTAATAAATTTGTTTATGCACCCTTTGATTGTTGGGTATTGGTGTACTCGCCTATTCTCCTAACTGACTTTTGTAAATGTACAAATGATACACATAATTTATTGACTAATTATTTGTCAAATTATAAGTTAGTTTGGTTAGATTAATTATAGCGGAAGATATAGGAGCATTAGAGACGGTCCGTTCGGAAGAATTAACAGATCCCATAGCCATTGGAAAGAAAACCCTAGCTTAGCTGATACCAGATGAGAGCTAAGAGCCAATAGAGTTGTGTATTGAATAGAATAATACAATGTACATATTAATGTATATATAATTAAGAAGGAACTCAAATACATAAAGTCCTAATATTAGAATATTCGGCACCATTTTGAATTAAGAGACTCCTTATTTCAAAGAACTCCTTGTTCAAATTCTCCAAGATTCAAGAGTCCTGATGCTACACTATTTAAAAGGAAGCTGATAAGCTTTGGAACAACACACTCACGCCACTCTCCCTAATTCCTTATAATATTTAATTTGTTAAATCCTCTGGATATTTATCTGTTATTTTCTCTATTGTAAAGTGGCATAAAAATGATCCTGCATATTTAATAGAAGATTGTCTCTACGAGAAGTGAAGGTTACATGTTGTGAAAAGTGAAAACCTGCTATCAATTGATTAGGCCATAGGTGCATAGAGAATCATATGGTTATAATTGTGATCATCTAGTAAAAGTTAGGTTTGGCCCCGCCGGCCGCCATAGGAGAAAAGTTTCTCCGAACTGCGTACACATATCTTGTGTTTCTGGTTCTTTATATGTTCTGCATTTATTTTTGTTTATTATTCCTGCATGTCTCTCTATCTTACACTATTCATATTATCCTGCATCATCTTCAGGTGTGTTATTTTATTAAGAGGATTGAGAAGTATTAATGCAAGTTCTTCATATTAGTATATAATAATATGAAGTATTAATGCAAGTGTTTTAAGGTTAAATCCATGAAGAAATGAACATATTAGTATATAATAATAGTGTTAATTTCTAAAAATTGTTGTGAGTTTTTCTTAAATTCATATAAGAATACTTTAAAGATTAAAAATATTACCAACACTCAAGTTGACACAACATATCTTTAAATATTACCAACACTCAAGTTGACACAACATATATTGTGTACTAAAATGAAGAGTAATAATGTTGTACAATTTTGGGATCTCCATACGTGACCGGTTGCGTCTCACCATCTGACCTTAACCACCTTAACTAATCAAGATCGACCGTGAGAATCAATGCGGTAGGTACAAGTCAATCAAGCGTTATGAACATTTGGCTCCACCTTTGACATCGTCCCGTTTGTAAAAGACACATAAAAGACATACATACCGAGAAATCGACATGTGCCTTCCAAAATCTTGTATATAATACGCATTTTTACACCTAGAAAAAGAGGATATCTTACACTAAGAACTACACTATGTTCTGGATCCTATATTTGTAGTTAAGAATTAGTACTAACAATTTCAAAATACAATATGTTTATCACTTAACTTGCACATCACGTCCACACATTCGTATTAAATTGAACTTTTAGTTAGACTATATTTTAATATTAATAATTTACACTCTACTATAACACATTATGAAAAATGCTCTTTATAAATATGTTTTGCAATAATACCAAAATATAACAAAAATTACCAAACATATTTACAAATGATAAGAAATACTCCGTACGTTAAGAGCTTTAATTACTACCAAAACTCTTATCTTAATTTCTACTCTGATTTCTTCTCCCGGAAAATAGGATTTAGTTAGGTTGCAAATTTCTACTAAACCTTTTACGCTACTAAAATACCTCATCAAATATCCTGTTTGTACGGCCTGATACGCCGCCGCAGCTTCGGCGGCGAAGCTCTAGTTTGGTTTCGATTTCCCGGCGGCGATCTTATCCACTCTGTTTTTGAATGTCGAAGTCAGAAAGACGAAAGCGTCCTTCCCGTCGCTATTGCTTCGGTAGAGAAGGTCTCGAAACTTCCAGCGTTTAGACGAGGCGGAGCCGGAGCCGGTGGAGTTGCTCTTTTTACATCTCCCGGGAGACAGATGATCATCTGCCGGTTTCGGCTGCCAAACGCAGTACGTGTCCGCCGGAACACCGTCCAGCTCGTCGGCTTCCGACGACGAGCATGACGACAGAGTCTCGCGGTCTTCGGTGAAGAGCTTCCGCAACGGAAGCCGAGGCTTCACCGGCTGCGTAGATGAAACCCCCTGATCCACGCCATAGTTCGATACCGCTACCAAATTACAGTTCCCGTCCAGAAATTCCCCTTCACCTATCAACAAATTCCGTTTGTGAACCGGAAAAATCGGCCGGATCTGTCCGTTGCAGAAGACCTCATCCGCGGAAATCGGCGAAAAAGCCATTTCTCTAGGAGCGAACGCGAACTCGAACTCAAAATCCTCCTCAACATCGCTACTCTTATCCTCCGCCTCCACTACCACGCCGTCCTTGCTAGCTTCTCCGGAAACTAATGTCTCATCGCTTTCCATGCCGGAAAACGTATCATCACCGCCGTCGGAAAACTCAGAGACGGCTTCTCCCTGTTCTGCCCTGAATTCCTCGACGACTCTCTCCGCAATCTCCACCAGATTGTTATCGGAACAGCGGTTAGTACTGGGCGACGTCAGCAACAAAACCGGTCTCCCCTGCATCATTCTGAGCTATGAAGTGAGGGAGAAGAAAGTGTGAAGAGTTTGGTGGAGAGCGAAAGGTTATGAAGCTTCTTCTACGGAGTATATATATAAGTGGAAAAAGTTGAAGGAAAGCTGTTGGATGCATCTGATCTTACGGTCCCACCTGAAGATTAATTTCATCATTCAAGCGCATAAAATGAGTGGTGCACTGTTTTCTATTTTAATTTCCACTAAATTTTACCATAATTTAATTAATAGTTAATAACTAAAATGGTCCCTCGATTATGTGTAATTACCAATTTTGTCTTCGATTATCCTTCTTATTCAATTATGTAATATTTGTCAAATTTAATCCTTCGTTAACTTTTCTGTTTGTAATATAGTTCTTGAAAAATTAGGGAGCCCCGTTTGAACTTTCAAGTAGTAGACCTGCCCTTCTGTAATTAGTAAATACTAATGGAATTAAGAAAATAAAAATAAAAATACCATTTATGTTTCGATCGCTCGACGTTAGCATTCGCCGCTTCCCCGTCATCCTACTCTTCGCGTACATGAACCCAACGTCACCCATTCCAGAAGCTCTGGGCCAGCGACAGGATTTTATCAACACTCGCCCGCCTCTGCGTTCCACAAAGAGTTGTTTTAGCACTGCCAAACACTCCAGCATAGAGAAGGTAAAGCCCAACTGATTCGAGCTCAAAGTCGACAATAGGTACTAGAAGCCCGTACGCACAGAATCCAAACTAACCCCCTCCAAGCTTACACCAAACCTTCTCCAACAAGCCTTAATCATTGTGCACTTGAAGAACACATGGAGACTAGATTCACACTCATCGTCGCAGAGCTTGCATATCGCCGTACAGTCCACCCTCCGTTCACATAAGATATTTTCTGTGGACAAACATCCGCTGCACGTCTGCCAAATGAGCATTTTCACTTTGGGAGGTATCTTCATAGTCCAAACCTACGTCCACCCCAACCACACCTCCGTAACATGTTCTCCAACCAGAAAACTATAACAACTTTTAACCGTAAACTTTCCCCTACTATCCAATACCCAAAACAGTTGCATCTTTACAGTCATACTTCGATAGAGGCATACTCACCACCAAGGACGGAGCTAGAAAATTTTGTGAGCGGAGGCGAAGTTTAAATAATGTTAGAAATATCAATTACAAAATATCAAACAGTCATAATAAGGTTAAAATACAAAATACATTATAAATTACAATGGAATGTTTCTAATATCTTACACGATAGTTAGAGTTGGAGCCAAACATATACTTGAGTGGGTGACAATGTGAAAATATTTATGACAACATATGAAACATAATAAATTAGATAAAATAATTTGAATAATACTATATTTATAAATACGTTTTAATTTAATTTTTTTAGTTGATCAACTTTAAGTTTTTCTAAATTAATTCGAATACAATAAAGTATAATATAAACTTGTATATTACATTAATTGAATGATTCATAAAAAGTAGACTAAAAGAATATTTAATTTGTTAATTAAATGATTTATAAAAGTAGATTAAAAAAATATTTATCTTGGGAAGAAATGAAAGAGATAAAATAAACAAGTGAAGATAAGAAAAATGCCGTTAATGAGATTCGAAGACCATAGGTTTTCTTAACATTTTTTTTTTGAATGCTACTAGCTCTATTACATTGTAGTATCTGTTCATATACTTTCTCAACCTACTGAAACACAAAGAGCTAATAACGCCTCCCCTGAGGCTCTTTCTTAACATAAAAAAGCAAAGTTCAACTAACTAAGCTAGTCAAACCATTAAAAATTTATACATAAATATTTATTTTATATAATATCTTATGCTATATATATGTATATATACATACATATATATATAAAGGGGTGGGGTGGGGGAGTGGGGGCAGCTGCCCCCACACTAGCTCCGTCACTGCCATCTCCGCATCGCTCTCATTCAAAACATCGCGTACAATTTCCACGTCCAACTCCTTTCCCGACGTCTTCATCAACCCACACACCCTCGCCTCTGCCAGCTATGATGGCATTATCGTTGTCAGTTGTTTATTTTCGATGTCCGGAAGCCATGCGTCACCCCAAACCCTGATATCTTTCCCGTCACCCACTCACCAACAACTCAATCGTCGCAAAATCTCTCGTGATTGCCATATACTCCTCCAAATAAAGGACATGTTGCTCCCCAGTTTGGCCTCCAAGAATGATTCCTTTGGGTAGTACTTAGCCTTCAGTACTCTAGCGGCCAAAGAATTCTGGTACTGAATTAACCGCCACCCCTGCTTGCTCAACATGGCTATATTAAACTCTCTCACTCACCTCAATCCCAGCCCTCCCAACCGTTTAGGTATACATAACCTACTCCACTTCATCCACCGAATTCCCCTCCTTCCTCGCTCTCCCCCTACCCAGAAGTATTTGTTCATGATAGTTTCTAACTCCCAACAGAGCTCTAAGGGAAGCATGAAGAAGACATTCATGGTATATGTGGGCAAAGCTTGCAAAATTGTCTTTACCATAACTTCACTATCTGCCCGGGATAAAAACCGGTTGTTCCATCCTGTGATACTCGTCAAAATCCGCTCCCTCACAAACCCCATCACTTCCCTTTTATTCCTACCCACCAGTGTTGCATTAAGTACCGCCCTGTATTACCCCCCTCAACCACACAAAGAGCGAGTCTCGCACATAACTCCCCTATTAGAGCCGTAACGTTTTAACTAAAAGATATAGAGAACTTGTCATAATTAATTAACTGACCTGATGCCGCAACATAATCCTTCAGTATGTCCGCGACAGCCTTCGCCTCCTGAAAGTTGGCCCTAAAAAACACAAAGGAGTCATCCGCGAATAGCAAGCTATACTGAGACACCATCGGAGCCCCCCTAGCCACCGCTATACCATGAACGTAACCACCCGCCATCTTCATGTCTCCTTATCATAGCGCTCAAGCCTTCCACTATCGAGATAAATAAATAAGGAGAGAGAGGATCACCATGGCGTAATCCCCTAATCCCCTCCTCGATTTTATACGTCCGTCCGTACCTTTCCCCTTCACCAAGAACATTGTATTCCACTGTTGTCACACATTTCATGATTAGGTCCACCCACCTTGCTCTGAACCCCATCTGTAGCATTACACCTTCCAAAAACACATATTCGACTCTATCGTACACTTTATTCATATCGAGCTTCAGCGCGGCAAACCCTCCTTTCCTTTGCCTCTTTATTTTCATATGATGGTGTGTTTTAAAAGTCACTAAAATATTATCGGTAATGTACCTCCTAGGTACAAACGCACTCTGATTGAGAGATATAAGACCATCTAACCGAACTTTTAGCCGGTTAGCCAGTACTTTTGCTACCACCTTGTACACTACATTGCACATCGAAATAGGCCTCAAATCTTTCATGATGTCCAGCTTACTCTAACAATATTCATTTGATTGATACCCTCTTATAATGCGCCCTCTTCAACAAAAGTTCTACACAGCCGCACTAGATTATCGCCACCAATATATTCGATTTGTTTATTCACTGTTACTGTTATTCATGTCCCTTGCATTCACATAAACACAATATTTTAAGTCTGATATCCTGTTTTAAGTCTGTAATCAAATATTCCGTACTTGGTAACGATAATGAGTTTTGGTAAAAATATTTTGCATGTTTAATAAAAGAATAAAATTAAAATGATTACTAATATTAATGTTAAATTATGTATGATGTCTATAATGAGAATAAAAGTTTTAAAAAATAAAAATAAAAAATTAAGACATTTGATCTTAATATAGTGACATTCAAAGTACTCCATAAAAAAAAAAATAAAAACAAAAATCTAAAATCACTCATCCTAACTTAAAATTTATATATTACCAATAAGAAAAATTTTAATTTATGCCCTTCCATAATATGTTAATTATCAGTGTCACCCCTACATTATTAGTGGTCTAAATATTGTCCCTCAATTTTCAAAACGTTACATATAGTACTCACCTATAATGTAAATGTTGTCCCTCATTTTTCAAAATAATACATATATTATCCTTCCCGTAATACATATATTGTCCCTCCCGTACGGTTCACAAAAGTTGTGAAAGTATAACTCACAACGCGCGGTGAAGCCACAGGCAAAGTTGTTTGAATGAGAATAAAGATGGAGAGAAAACACTAAAATTTTTGTTGAGATCCCAAACTCCCTTTTTGAGTTCCATCAAATTTCTGCTTGTCTAATATTGATTGAAGATATCCTTTAAATAGACTAATACAATGAGTCCTAATCTAATTGAAACTAAGCTAACTATCTTTAAGTTAAAATTTCTCCAAAAAAAAAAATCTTTTAAGTTATAGTCTGACTAAACTATTGTATTATAACAAAAATAGAAATATAAGATTATGTCAAATATAGGATTCTGTCAATAACTCTTTCTTTCTATAACTTCCCCCAGAATGCATCACCTTCATTGCTCCTGTATTAGTGAGATCATTCTTGAACAAAATTCAGTTGATGCTCTTCTGCAAATGATCAAAGGTTAAAAGTTATTGGTGATTACCACAGATATTTCAAAACCAATCAGAAACATATTGATAGAGAAAGTGAAAACTTAGGAGCATGATATCAGCTAAACTGTGATTGTTCAAAAGCCAAGAAATATAGAAATATCGAATGTCAGCTAGTTCATATTAAACCATGAGATAAATAAGAACTTATATCAATGATTCTGTATAATCAAAATAATTCATCTTCTCATAGAATCACATTTCATCAAATTGAGGCCAGGGCATACCTTATCCCTTTGAGCTTTTATAATTGTAGCCAACAAATCATCTCCTGCCAATTTCCTCACATGCTGTATCATTTCATGCCTTGTGATTCTCCTCTCCTACAAACAAATTTGACCCATTAGTGTTGTTAAGAGTCCACATTGATAAAATAAGAGAGAACATATGGGTTTATAAGGCCATGGGTTAGACTAACTAATTGGTTGGATTCAATCTTTTAGTGTGGTTTGGCCATGTGCATTATAGCCCAGTTGACTCTAGCCCAATCTTAATTTATAACAAGTATCAACATTGTGGTTTGATGAGGTGAGGCAATGGAAACCATAGCATATCTCAAGAATAAACGAAAAAACAAGAAGACAAAAATCACTTACTCTATGATCCTTCTGGTATTTTGTAATCAACTTCATGCTTTGAGGTGGCAAAAATTTACCCAGTGCAGAAACCAGAGCTGGGAAAGAGATCCATGGCGAATTCGGTAACCTCAAAGGAACAGAATTTCGTTGAACCCCTGACAACCAAACAAATAGACAACACATTAACAAAACCAACCTTGTAATAGTTTCCTCTCAAAGTTACTGAAAATCAAACGCCCCCAAGTTGCTCACCTTTTACGGAGGCTGGGACTCTGAAACTGACCACATATTGAGGCAAGATATGAGTATTCATGTTGGTACTCCACACAATATATTTTCTCGGGGCCACTGAATCATCAACCCCAGAATCAAACTCCTCAGAACTGGGATGCCATTGTCCAGAACCGGGCGGCACAACCTCCATCTTCCCCAGGATCACGCGGCAAAGTAACAAATGCCTCACACCATTCTCATCGGCCACAGCGGATTTCAAACTAAAATCAACCAAAAAAAGCAAGCTATTAGCATAGCAAACAGAATAATATAATCATAAATCAAATATTGAACTATATCACTAGATATACAATGAAGTAATGAGTCATTCTGTGGCCATGTAACACAGCTGTAATTACTCTATAGATTATTGAGACTAATGATACAAATTTCACTTTCCACCTGTTTGGCAAACAAGACTATACGAGTGTTTGGTTAATTAACTTTTTGTAAAAAAGCTATTCAATAGAAAATAAATTATTCATTCATTTTGCCTATAATCAACTTAGCTAATTTTCCAAACATATTAACTAGTCAAACCGGCTAATCCAATCAGCTAACACTATCACCTCAAAACCATTGGAATATTGGACTAATTAAGCACAGCACTGAAGACTTCTAGAACTAAATTAAATTTGAGTATAAACTCATTATTATGAATTCGATCCATAATCATTAACTTAAGCAAACAAGAGCTTCAAAATGAGTGAATAGTTACCTTCCAAGAGGAAAATTGGATGGAGAGAGATGGATTCCATGGCCATAGCTTCCAGCGTTGTTGGTTTTAGGAGCAAAACCATGCGAAAGAATAGCGTTGATCTCATCCATGGAAGAAGCTCCATACCAAGCAAACTCCACATTAGCAGAGCCTCCATTCTTCTTCTCCACCGCTTTTGAAAAAATCCCAAAAATCTTAAGCTTTATCTCCTTAATCAACCCCTGATAAGAGCTCTTATAAACACCCTGAATCGTAGTTTGAGAACCCAGAACCCCCAGACCCGAGACCAGCTTCTGCTTGATGGAATGATAAGCTTGTTCCCCTTCATCCACTCGGATCAACCCGTTCTCGAACCCGAAAGGAGAATCCACCTCGTGAGTCGAACCCGAAATCCCGCTCTCACAATCCGATACCTGTGAGCGCTCCATTTCCCCCGAATTTTCTAGAAACTTTTCAAGAACTCAGGAACCCAGCACTCATAAAGGAAAACTTAGCTAGAAGAGAAGAAAAGAAATAATTTCGAGGGATTCCAAGACTCTTATTGCAAAAACAAAGAATTTGGAATCAAATTCTGATTCTAAGAGATAACATGGAAGAGAAAAATCTCAAGTCAAAAGAATAGAGACATCTTGGTAGCGAAAATAGCAATAAATAAAAGTGAAAAAGAAGAAGCTAAAGACGCAACCGAAACACCGCCATAGAAATAGAATGGTCTCCCATTGAGGTTTTAATCCATTCGGTGGAGAGGGAGGAGGAGTGGCGGTGTTTGAGTTGGCCGACGTTGAGTGGCGGTCAAGGGAGAGTTAATTAAATTTAAATGGAGGGGTGTGAAATTACTAGAATGGGGTTTTCTTGGGAAGGTGTCTAATCTATCGTGGGTTTCGTGATCAAACGGGAAGTGGGAGAAAAGTCGTATGTGAATTTCGTGTGTCAATTTGGACCGTTACCGTACTAAAGAATAAACAGTTCTAGATGGGGCTGTCAACGGGTCGGATCTTAATAAATTCGGGTTATACCCGATTAATTATACATTATATTTGGTGAATACGTAATAAACAGAATAAATCAAAAAAAATGTTGACTCATATTGATTTATATTTAAAAACAAAACAAAATATATTTGTTTAATTTCCATTCCCGTGAAATCACAGGGAAAAAGACTAGAATGTGTAGAAATGGTTGAGAATTAGTCAAAATGTGTGCTGACTTTTTTTAGCAGAAATATGCAAAACTCTATTGCGAGTTGCGTTTTTGAAGGTATTTAATCCGTATTTTTTTTCGTTAAATACGTAAAACGCAACTGGTAGTTGCGTTTTACGTATTGAATACGTATTCAATACGAAAAACACACCTCGGACACTTCAAAGGCTCCACCGCCTTTTGCGGCGGCTGTACGGCCGCCGGGAGATCCAACCTCGTACTCCCGCCTGTCGGGGGATTATCCCACTCAATAATTCCAGGTTGATGATCCCCGTCGGAAACCTGCTTAGTACTCAACCCCATACCAAGCTATTTCAATTCTGATCTTCAATTCGATCAATTCTCCCCGGCCTTCAAATTCGCCGGAAACGGTCAGTACAAAAAAATGACAAAAACGCAACTTCGTATTATACATAAAACACAAACGCAAGTTGCGTTTTGGGGGATACAGTATGCGCTGTAAAACGCAAGAGCGTATTGCGTTTTACGTATCGTATTCGTAAAACGCAACTGCCTCTTGCGTTTTACTGCCTCTTGCGTTTTACTGAAATACATGAAAAATATTAAATACTCCAAAAACGCAACTCCGAAAGGAGTTTTGCATATTGTTGTCAAAAAAAAAAATACAACACATTTTGGGAATTTCGCCTTGTTGACGGCACATTCTAGTCTTTTTCCCGAAATCACATGCTCCAGCCAAAATGGGAACGGGGATCACAATTCGACTATTCGAGAAATAGAAATAGGAATAGGAATAGGAATACTCTTCTCCCAAATTCCAAAAAAAACAAAAAAATGGTAGAAGAGGAATAAGAATACTCCTGGCTGGCTAGCTAAATATTTAAATATGTTTGCAGCTAGATAGATAGCCATATTTAAATATGGTAGCAGGCTAGCAGCCATAGCCACGTGAAAAGGCTGCAGCTTATTTGCAGAGTCGGTGCAGGGTGAAGACGAAAGAGACCGACATATGCTTTTGATGGCGACGCACTGCTCAATTCCATGGGCGCTACAGGTCGTTTACTTCATTTTTCTATTTTTTCATTTCCAGTTTTCTATTTCTCCATTTCTCCAGTTTTCCTTCTCCATTCTTCCAATTTTCTATTTTTCCAATTTTTTTAATTTTCATTCCCTATTCCTCCATTTTTTTATTTCTCTATTTTTTTAATTTCATTAAATTAAATACAATCATTACATATAACATTTATACATTTCCACAACAAAGATAATAATAATAATAATAATAATAATAATAATAGCAATAAAAAAAGATTGAAGAGGAAGCACCAATGATCATAATAATAATAATAATAATAATAATAAATAAATAAATAAATAAATAATAAACTGAAGAGGAGGAAAAGAAAAATACACAAGCAGCACCCAACCAAGAGACGGATTCGAACACTGGACTTCAAGGTCACTGCAGTACTATTCACCCGCATCTTTTCCAATTCTCCAAATGGAGAAGTCTAAAAAACCTTTCTCCAAAATCATATAGAAACGGAAGAATGGAGATGAAAAATGTATTTGGAAGAAGAAATTTAGTAAACAACTTCTCCATTTTCTATTTTTCCATTTCTCAATTTCTCCATTTTTTCATAAAATCTTCCATTTTTCCAAGTTGGTAAACGACCCCTACCTTTTTCTAACACAAATTACTACTTCTACTCTCAAATTATAATTTCATGATAAAACAACATGCTTTAAGACAAGTTCTGAAGATCTTGTTGATATCTCATGATTTTCTTGGAAGCACATTAAAAGATGCAATAGGCTTTAGGCTAAAATGTAAATTTGAATAAATATATAAAAATCACAATAATTGTCAAGCACATTGTACTGAGATGACATTTAGTGACATTTCTCATGTAGAAGGTCATGAGATCGAGTCCAGTGATGAAGGGTTGTGTTGCAAATTTAGAGGGAGTGAATAGACTTGTACAAATTTTTAAAGCTATAATAACTATTCGTAAAGTTTATAGACAATAGAAAAATGTGAATTTTTTTTTTTTTTGATTTACAAGTTTAGACTTAATAAATTTTAAGTTTGGTTGTGTTAAAGACGTAATGTGAATACTATAAAGTAAAGGCAGAGGGATATTTTTGAAGTGGTTCGGCTATCAACCAGCCTACGATCATTCTTCTCCAAAAGACTCCTATGGGGATTACACTAAAACTCCTAGAGTTCTAGTACAATGAGGACCACTAAGCTGGCCTCTAGCTTCCAGGTTTTTCACAAGTACCAACATGTTACTCTATCTCTTTCTACTTCAACCGAGTAGAGTTACAAAGGTTGTCCACAAAATGAATGTTGATCCTCCAACTTCTTGTAGTGCTTGAATATTGATTTCCCGACGACCAAACTATGAGCTAGATCTTGAATTTTAAGCTCTTTAATCTTCTCTCACTGGTTAATATTTCCTTGCACTTTAGTTTGCTTTGAACACTTTATATTCTTTTCTCAATTGACCAACACCTTCTTCAGTATTGATTGAAGGTATTTATATCGTTTGAAATAAATCTACTAGAGGGAGATGAATTTTAAATATCCTTTAACCATTAGGTAATGACCAATGCACATTTCGAAATGTTACTTTTTCAAAATTTTAAGTCGTTGACATGCTTTTATCTGCTGCATCTTGCTTTTTTGCACTGCACCTTTTGTCTAGGCTTTTTTTTAAAAAAGTTCTCATTGAGAATTGGGATGTGTTTCCAGGATTCCTTTTGTAGTAGTAACACTTCGCATAAAGCTTCATAACTTTTAAGGTTTCAAACTATTTGCTCAAAGAATGTCTTGACCAGTTCATCTGAGTGATTAACTCTTACCTTTCGAGTTACCGCTTCGAACCTTAAGTTTTATAATCTTTCGTTCGAATAGTTATCCTTACTATTCGACATATTACAAGTCTCTTACTACTTGATAAGATTGACCCTTCCACTCTTCGCCCAATGCAACATTTCGGTCTTCAAATATACTCTTCGACTCTTTGACTCTTCGTAGTTCCTTGTCTACTTGAACTCTTCACTTGTTAGCTGAGTTGACTGTTCGATAGATAACTCTTCGAGTTATTGTACTAACAACTCGGAACTATTCAAAGAGGCTGAATATTCATAAGTTCAAAATAGTAAATAAATTGAGGACTACAATTTTTATAACTTTCGGTATCATCAAAATCTAATTACAGTTGTTCCTAACAAACGCTAAATTGTACTTCTAAAAAGAAAATGCAATAAGTTGATTTAAAAAATCTACTCCAAGTAACTTTTCAATTTTCATCTTATTGGCTTCAATAAGCCAAACCAAAAAGTTGTTTGATGAGTTTATTGCACTTTTTTTTTATCTAATGGTCCAATTATATTTTCATGTATAGCTTAGTGGCTAATTTAACCATTATTTCTTATTTTTTTAATAAAAATATCACATGACTATATAATATCAAGATATATTTAAAAAAATATTATTTAGTCAAAAGTTTTATTTTGAAATATTTTAGCAAATAAGGTGACGTGGTAGACTATCACAACTTAATTATGTAAAAGAGAAAAATGTGTTTTTATACCCTCATATATTTAGTTTTAGTTGTTTGAATTTTTATCTTTAAATAAATAGTTGCAAAATGCATTCTTGACTTTACAAAAAAAAAAACAAAAAAACAAAAAAAAAAAAACAAAAACAAAAACAAAAACAAAAACAAAAGTATCCATTGAGCAATAGAATTATGACTCTTTGTTTCAATTTGACTTATCGAATAGTATATACTTTTGTTAAAAATTGTACTCCGTATCTTTTTTTTTTTTTTGCTAAAGAAGATTTATGACTTTGTTGTTTGATGAACAAAGATGAAACTTTTTGTAAAGTTAATTGTGCATTTTGTAATAACTAAAAGATATAAACCATTACACCATTAAAAATACATTTTTTCCCATGTAAAACTATGTCAATGGTAAGAAATATGGCTAAGAAAAAAAACTTTGTCAATATCACTATATATACGTGGACTTAATGGATTGCATAAATAGTACTAGTATTTTATATGGGGATACACAAAAATATATGTTCAATATTAATACTCAATGTTAAAATATATATTTAAAACAAAAAAAAAAAACTAAGGATTGAGTTATACTGTAGTATTAACATTTTTCTAAGGGCAATGGTGAGTTCTGTGAACAAATTATGAAAATGTACCAAAATCTCAAGTACAAGAGAGTCCTTCAATTTGTGAATGGGGTTTCCTAATACTTAACTGAGGTAAAATATGTACCCAAGGATGTACATATACTCACCATTTTGATCAAAGAGAATGATATATATCTCAATGTTATACATTTCAGTATTCGCATTTCTATACACTCAAGATCAGGAACATGAACATTCACAAATATACATAAAAGGGAATTGGAGTAGGAGCTTCATTCACAAATCACAACCAGGCTCCCCATCCAGGAAACATGTGACACAAACGATCTGGATCGGTTGCATCTTGTATAAGTTGTTGTACCTAAACACATGTAAAAATCTAATTTAACCGGTAAATCTGCAAGAAACATTAGATATGCATATGAAAATCAAATAGCATGAGATTCCCAAACATCTTTCAACTAAATTACTTAATATGGCATTTTGGCAATCTTTTTCCTTTACTTTCCACAAAGATCTTTGGCAATTAGCTGTTAAACAATTAGCAGATTGTATTAGTCATTAATTGATTGCATAACTACATAAACTATTTGACTTGCAAATATAGGCTACATTCATATTCGTTAAAATTTGAAGGAAATGTTTCTAATCCCAGGAAGTTATCAAATAGATGAGTAGATCATTTAAAATTGAAGAGAAGGTAAAAGATTCAAGAGTAGTTTATCATGGTGAGCTGATTAAATGCATGCTAGAGGTTACAATATTACCTGACCATGCACACTTCTTAATTCACCTTCCTCGTATCCATCTAATTTTTGTTTAACACGCATCAAGGCCCTTGCAGCATCTTTGTTCCCTTCATATTCATCTTCCTGTGAGCCCTCCAAACTAGTCTCCAAATCTTCATCAATGTCCTAAGAGAAACCGGCATTATTATTATTATTATTATTATTAGTATTTGGTGCAATTCAGGTTTTTAGTAGATTAGTATGTGGATGTAACTTAATGTTAGAAAAAATCAAAGTTTTAACTTCTAATAGAGTCAATACCACTTTTGTTCCCTCACCTATAGTGGCATTTTTACTTTTAATCATTGACTATTAATTTGATGACTTTCTTAGATTGACCACATTCAGTCCAAAATGCCCTTCCTCAGTTATGTAGATTCATAACAGCTGCATATATGCAGAGTAGAAATAGGGAGTAAAATTACTAATATACCTTCTGGCGTTGCAAGGCCTTTAGAGGGGACAGAGCCCACTTGTACAAAGGATCATGGATGAAGACCTGCAGTAAAAGTCATCAGTTTCGGATATGCCAAAGTATTCTAACCCCCTTTCTGAATGCAAGAGTATGTAAAATAATTATTGCACCTCAACAATGGTTAGCAGTGCCTCTTTATTTGTCCGCATTACAGAAAGTGTTTCTTCACAGCATCTTCTGAAGACCCCTTCCACTCCAGTTATGCCCATACCGTCTATTATGTCCCTAGTAAGCCTGAAGGGTACCTACAGGAGATATTATAGATTAGTTTCTAAAAACAGCTGAAGAAAATAAAAGAATGAGTGAGCGACAATATTAACAGAAATGAGAACTATTAAAGATGAAATAGACAAACCCTCTCAGGTGTTTTAAGCATAAGGCCTTGCTCAAATGCAACGCCAAGATCTATGTGAACAACTTCTGCAGTAGTTTGATCAACGAGGATGTTCATCAAATGTCGATCTCCCAGTCCAACAATGTAACCCACCTGAGAGCCAAATATAAAAGGGAAGAAATAAGAAAGAAAATAGCACCCTTACTATGAAAAACAGATTTCATCCTATCAACACTGAAGTTTCAGTTAACACAGAAGCTGCAAAAGTGATAATGAACAGTCTTTTGGGTGCAAGGATGGGATTTATCAGATGGGGTAAACTGTGCCAATGGTAAAGTTGACTCATGAAGGAATCAAAACACTTAAGCTCTGATTAACAATGTCAGGTTCCAACATCACTTGTTGCAGTTGAGCACAAATAATAAGAGTATCGTTTTAATAACATTGCTGCAAGTTAAATTTGGTCATCGTCTTCCTTCCACTCTAGTCATAAGTGATCATATCAACATGGTCTTCCTCTTCTGAGCACTAGTAAAAAGAAACCCTAGTGTGACTGTAGACAGAGTCACAGACAAATTGTTAAACCATGTAAAATATTGCGTTCCTCATCCTTGCTTTACTTTTGTTGGTTGTGTTAATACGGAGTAATTTACTATTATCCAAACAATTTCTAAGGGGGAGTTGGCATCCATATGGGCAAATGGTTGTGAAACTTTTCATATAATTCCACTTTCAGATTTAAAGATGATTTGGCATGCCAGACATAAGGAGTAGATATTATGTAATTTATTTTTCTTTAAAGGATAGCCTCACCCCAAATGACTTTATTTCTTACTTGTCCAAGTCTTTTTTGTTCTGTGTGATTAAAACGCATATACTAGGTTAAGAGTTGCATTTAAGGAGATATTATGCATTTGCTTCTCTGAGAATAGGAAGCTAAAATTTATGATTTGATGATATTCTGCGACCCTTTGCAAACTATTCAGTCTATGATGTAGCAAACTCACCATTGAACTAGCTGCCACACTTCTCGTATAAGCCAACCTCTTTTCAAACCAATCAGCTGGATGTAAAAATCTCTCCAAGAAAAAGTGATGCATGACAGGCCTAAACCAAACATAATTTATGCTGTTTAAAAAAGTGCACTTGAAATCTCAAAGGCATAGTATGTTTGAAAAAAATTAATAGACCTATAATTGTCACAAACTTCTTGGAAAGCCTTGCGCTTGTCATGCTCCTACACACAACAGAGACTATTAGATACCATATTCATTATTTTTAAACAAAGAAATATCAGATAAAATTTGTTGATTGCACACAGACATTTTATTTAGATGTAACTTAATCAACAGGAATAAAATATACTTCAATTAATATATGGAAAGTGTTTTTTTTTTTTTTTTTTTTTTTTTTTTAAAGCATGTTCCTTCTCCACTAATCCATAGCTTAGAACATGCAATCTCGTAGATAAGCATACACATTCCACTGGAATTGTACAGCAGTTAACAGTTGCAAATGTAGCCCCTCATAGACAGATAGTAAAAAAATGTTTTAAAGCAAGAGCAGAATGGTAATTACACTAAAAAATGTGTCAGAATGGTAATTACACTAAAAAATGTGTTCCCTACTAAGGAATTAAGTTTACACCACAGATATAAATTGGATACTAAAAGTCTCATTTCCTTGTAATAATAGTGTCGTACTTGAGGGTTTGAAAAGTCTGGCAGTAGGGCCTCTCATAAAATATGTCACCTAAAGCACATATAAGACCTAAATTTAAAAATCCAAAGGGACAAAACCTTAAAGCTAGACTGGATTCTTAACTTTCATAATCCCTGCCCCTCCGCCACCCCCCCCCCCCCCCCACCCAACCAAAAAGAGATTTGCTCTTACATACAAATTTTATATGTGCACATAATGTATAAACAAAAGGGAAGTAAAACAATGAAAGCTAGTTTAGGTACACTAATAAGAAGCTGATAGCAGGGATTCACTAAACAAGATAACAAATTAACAAGCCAATAAAACATTAAAGGAAAGTACAAAAAAATGGCACTTGCCGTAACCATGTACTGTCGACATTTAAGAAATGTCCAGTCTCCCACTCCATAGCGTCCATGGGCACCTCCGTCTCTTGTGCTAAAGAATGTAAATAAGTTCAGTATCCAACTGGTTTGTATTAATTATTCAGGTAGATGTACTGACCTCCCTATAAGGTATTCACCAAGAGGAACTGTGCCATTCACCCATTCAAGAACACCAGCACTCGGAGTGAAAGGAACAACCTGTATCACAAGCAGAAAATTGAGTGGCAGAAGAAGAAGAAAGTAATGCATGCATAATTGTAAGTATACATTTTATAAATTTAATGTTTTATTCACATGATTTATTAACAAAAAAAAAAATGGGCATGCTGTTGTAAGGTCGTACAATAGCTTGTCCATAAGTAATCAGCTGCATTGAGATGCTTCATCCACGAAAAGGAATGGTCTATGACCTATGTTGAAAATATATGCATATGATTTCTGGTTGGGTTAAAAAGAGCTTTTCACTATAAGGGGGTGTTTGGTTGGATGGAAGTCAAATTCCATGGAAAATGTTTTCCTAAAAGTCAAAATGTTTAATCAGTCAGTGGTCCTATGTCAAGCTTCACCGATGTTATAATGGTAATACTTCACTTTATTGGCTTGTTTAAGAGAGAAAGTTTTACTGCTACAGCAACATTAAAAAAAAAAAAAAAAAACAAGAAGAAACCCACACACACACACACAATTTTGAGTAATCATAAGCCAATATCAGTTAATTATTGAAAATTAAACAACTGAAGGGTACTAATATTTACTCAGAAATCTGGTGAAACGGTAGATCAAGACTATATTGAAGTTTATGCTATTCATAATATAGTACTCAAGGAAAAGTAAATGCTTGGGTAAATTTTATTCTAATTGAAACCCTAGGCCCTTTTAGGAATGGGCCCATTAGGTTAATATAGCTTATTCCTGTATAAATAGTAGATGTCTGTACAGTTCTTTTGACTGAATACTATGAATCTTTTCATTCTTCTACATTATTCAACACTAAATACACTTATATGATATGATATGATATAATTTTCCTCAAGATTGTAATGGTAAACACAATGTTAAGATCTTTTTTTCCCCATTTCCGAAAGGTTTATTTGAAGTATCTAACAACAAATGGTAATGCTTATCCTCTTCAAATCAACATATTACCTTGTATGTACGAATTCTCAGTCTCCTTTTCCAGGTGTCTCGATGGTTCTGCAAGAAAGTATTAACTAAACCAAAGAACTGTTCCATCACCTGCATGTTATTTTCGAACATTTCAATGAATGATTCAATATCTAATACATGAAAAAATGAACCAAAATTTACAGGCATAATGAATAGCATAATAAATAATTAAGATTTGCAAAGGATGGATGGCTCTAAAAGCACATTATTGAAGTAGATATTTAGAAATTATTGTTGAAATTGAGGGATTGAAATGCTAGATGGGTGGCGACTACCTACCAATTAGGTGGAAGCAAAGTATAAAAAAAATGAAAGAAAGAAAGAATATATTATTGTATAAAAAAATAATAGATTGCATATAAAATAGGAAGTTTAGGCATGGTTATATAGGAATATAATGGGCCTAACTAATGGATTAGTTTAAAACTAGAGCTGCACTAGGGTTTCTAGTTTCTATATTTCAACAATCCTTAACCTACTAATGGAGAATATGTTTTCCAAATTGTCACATCTTATCCATATGATTATTATTTCATCCATAGGCAAACACAAAATGAAAATATAAATGTAACATTGGATACCCACTGTGTTACAGACAAACAATTCAATTAAAAAAAGGCCAGTAACGCTTACAGCATCCTGTCTCAGATCATCATTGCCAGATTTTGCCAGTTGTCTGTACTTGTTTCCATCGGAGCCCAGGCATACAACTACTTTTGGAGCATTTATACCATTCATTATACTGCCACAAAAACAGAGCTAGTGAGTTGGTATGGCTATAAACAAGTCATCGATCTGAAAGTGAATGGATATGATATAGCAAAAACATACGTGACTGAATCTGTCAATCCTTTGAAATGAGGAAAGGACCCCTCACTGTACAGACAACTAGGGTCTATAGGAACATTGGCTGTTATGACAGGAACCTGAAATTCCATATTTTCAACTTTAATAGTCTGATAGAAATCATGAGGTGGTCCGTCAGGGGGAAAACGGGCCGTCACCCACCATAAGACAGATTCAATAAGAGAAAATACACCTAAAGTACGAAAAGAATATTCTATGGAGTATTAACTTAGGTATGTAAGTGAATGTACATAGATTATAACAGAAATAATTCTATTTCTAGACAAATATCTTAATTGAGAAGTGTTATAATGTGCTCATACTGGTTTTCCTAATTTCTCAACAAGTATAATGATAGGATTATCTCAGTCACTGTTCCCTAAAACCCTTTCATCCCTTCCCTCTCTTTTTTAACACTCCCTCTATCCAGAAAAAATAATCCACTTTGACCAGACACACAAAGATTTAAGAGAGTATATTTAATGCATTAAGTGATATATTAACAATTTTGCCCACATTAAATGAATGAGCAATATATTATTTTAAATTTTTACTTAAAAGGATATTTTGGGTAATGAAGTTGTGAATTTATTGAACGGGAAAATTTTGTTGGACATCCCAATATAGTATTAATTTATTGGGAGTATTTATTCATTCTTTATTTTTTTCTGTGAGACAGGTTTTAATGCTTCATACTTGCTTTCCTAACATTCTAGTCAGCATAAAAATAGAGTCTCATCTATTTGTATGACTGATTTGTTCTGTTAAACATATCTTCTCCAACTCTCTTTTTCTTTCTCCCTATTATATGTTGCTTTGACAAGGGACATAGAAGAGCCACATCAAGCAGCTGGGGAGACTTTTATTTCAGGGAGAATACGGTTATCAGTACTTCTATTGGGAAGGAGTGGTTCAATACTCACAAAAGCAAGAGGAAAGATAAGGAACTTACAAGTTCAAGCTCTCGGACACTGCGGATATCTCTTGGTAGAGTGACCTTTTTGTTAGTATCCTGCTAAACAAAATGCAATAAATAGTTGAAGAATGATAACCTGCTAGGGTTTGAAGAAGAAAGGTAAAGGTGAGAACATTTCAAAAAGAAAATACATTACAGGCAATGGTTTACCTCTCTCTTTGTTTCCAATTCAGCAAGTTTAATGTAAATTTCAACCATTTGCTTCATCTGTTCCAAGGAAAAAGTAGCCAATTCATGACAAACAGAAATACAAGAAAAAGTGTAAGTAACTCACATAAACAAAATGCGAATGAGCCCTATACCTGTCTAAGGATTGCTCCATGGTAAGAAGATAACTCCTTCAAGAGATTCTCCGCTGCAACTTTTTTGTCGATATCAACCACAAAGGAATTTTTACTGCGCTGCTTATCTTTAATGCGGTCACCATTTGCCAAAGCTAGCAGCTAAAAGCATAAAAGGGACAAACTTTAGATAGAGGATGACTGAAGAAAAGATGGCCATAGGAAATTCAAAAATTTACTTGGTGCAAACAATATACCAGATTCATTAACAAGAAATTTACTACTTGAACAATATGCCTAAGTAAATACCCTGGATGAAAATGCATCCCCCCAACTTATGTACCTGGAATATTGTATGATATGGATGGTCAATAGCCAATTTCTTCACCAGAGAAACCAATGCAAACTACACAAATGTAAGGCATAATATCCAATTAGCCAGATTGGTTTCTCATAAAATGACCAAAACATAATTTACTCTAATTTGTATCTTCATGCCATGAGAAGAATGAAGATTCAGGTAGCTTATATTCATACCTGAAAGCTTTGTGGCCCATGACCATCTTTTGTATTACCCATCCTTGAAGCGATTTGGTAAACCAATGGTACAAACTTATAAGACTGAACCTGAAAAAGTAATTGCTAATATTGATGATGAACCATTGAACCATGTTAAATGACAAGACAACTTATGAAATATAAAGCATACAGCTTTTGAGCAGGATGCCACAAAGAAGAGTCACTAACAAAAGCTATTAATCAATTAATTAATCAATAGATTAAATAATAAATATGAAAGCATACCTCATTAGTTGTGCTAAGCATGCTATCAACAACAATTGATCTAGTTGATAAATTAAACCACAATGAAACAAGACGAAATACCTGGACAACACAAGCAAGTCAATATTCTAGCAATCCCCCATACAAACAAAGAACAGTGATGTGTGTAACAAGTACCCTGAGAAATTTCTATCTCACAAAAGCAGCAATGTTTAAAATGTGCATAGTTAACCTCCTTCCCAAACTGAACAATAAAAAATAACTTATTTCACATAATATTTACTTTGCCATGCTATATACTACTCATAAGATTATCAATTTCACAATAAATGCACTCGTACAAACATTTTTGTGTTGGATTACAAAATGAATAATTTTTGCTTTGTGCAGATAGTATCAGTAAGATCCATTGTACTCTTTCCCCTTCACCATCTCCTACAGGACTACTTCATTTTGTTGAAATTGAGAGATTCAAAGGTTTGGTAAGTGGTGAATAACAACCACCCACCAATTAGGCAGAAGAAAAATATGTGAGAAACCAAAGAAAGAGTGACTAGAGAAAAAATAGGATTGTATTAATAATTATAAATTACAATAAATTGTTTTTCTTTGTATTTAACTGTATAGAGCTCCTATATATATAGGAACATTGGGCTAAGCCACTACTACTAAGAATAGGACTAAGGTTTCCTATTTTCAACATGCCCCCTTATGCTGAAACATCTAAAAGTTCCAAGCTTGAATTAAAACAAACACTCCACCTAACTTGAAACTACCAAAAAAAAAAAAAAAAAAAAAAAAAAAGAATGTGGCTAGAGGATAACAATGTCAGATGGCTTTGGAAGACAACATTTATACACAACCCTTGGGAATGAAGATAAAAGCACCAAGGATGGAGCTAAACACAAACAACCTCAAAATAACATCATTAACATGGCAACACAAACACGCTAGGACAAACACTAAAAAGGCTTTAAACAGTAGAGGTGAAACTGAGCAGAAGCAACAAAGGGATACAGGAATATATATGACCCATAGTGATAGGGCACAGAGCAATGAAGGGAAGCCCATAACGATGAAAAGAACAATGAATGACTTTGGCAAATAAAATATAACAGTGTCAAAAATGAACACCTTTGGGGAATAGATATGGCACACTGTCAGTAATACCAAAATTGAACGCCCTTATGAAAGAAACTCTAAAGTATGATTTATGAAGTTTTCCCAACTTACTGGAAATTAAAATTTTTAAGGAACCAAATATCAGAATCTCTAAAGTATAATTTATGAAGGAGAACACACAAGTACTTACCACTCTGACATCATATTTATCTCCAATGACTAGACATCGTTTATATTCATCCAGTGCTGTGTTTAGAAAGTTATCCCTGTCTTCCTGTTTAGTCAAGGAAATATTTTCAGTTATAAAATTACACCTGAGTATATTTTCATGAATCATGATAACCAAGTCATAATCACTTCAGAATGAACTTAATCCAAATATGGCATCAAATTGAACTCGTTGTAATGTAAAAATGTAAAATAGATTGAATACCAAGTAAACATTATTGGAACTGTGATAACCATCACCTGTTGTAAAAGGGATGGGGAAAAATCTGAAGTTCCAAGCAGTTAAGTAAATGACATGAATTTACATACAATCCTCCACAATAAATATGAAGAGGAAGCTCATAAAATTTGCTCTGCTATGGAGTGAAAATGTTAATGATTGTGAACTTTTGAAGAACTTCCATCATCTCTTACCTGCAACTTTGCAGCCTCTTCTTTGTCCATTGCAAGTTGCTTTTGTAATTCTTGTATCTTCATTGAGTAGTCAACCTTTTCTCCCTAGGGGAAAACAGTAGAGAGAAATCATATATTGAAAGTAAATTAATAAATTATAATCCTTGTTTTAGAAAGTCCATCCTGTGGGAAATTGCAAACAAGTAAACAGAAATAGTAAAGTGATACTCTGTATTAACTTACCTTTGATGAAGTTTTCAGTCGCCTAGCCAGTGCTTCTAGCTCCTTTTTCTGAAAATGTAGAGACAGAAATTAGCATAAATCTACTACTCTCCCACACTCCTAGCCTATGTTGGCTTCCTCCACATTTTGGTTCATTTTTCTCGTTAAATGGGTGACACTCAGCATACCTTGTGTTTTCTTAGCCGCATTGCTGCTTGCCACTCACTGGAATTCAGTCTATCTTCATAACTGCGAAATAGAGCATCTGCATAATGAGCAAGATGGAAACGCATTTGACTCCTCTTTGCCATGGACTCCTTATCTTTTGTCATGCAATCCTCAGCAAGATTAACAGCATGTTTAAGGTATTTCTCTAATATAGTCCTTGAACTGTAAAACCATTTTCCATAATGAGAAAACAGTAAAATATACAGTACCATACATTGACATTCATGGATCATTGTCAAGGGTTTGAAACTTAGATATAGAAGTGTGATATATATACTATGTCACAATCATTATGTACTACTAACTTGCTTGAACGGGTTTCTGCTAGCCACTTTCCTATTAAGCGGAAGACATCAGATGCATCCACATTAAACTGGTAATTCTGCGCAATATACTTTGCAAGGTTGATGGCTGCTTGATGCTGACCTTGAGCACGCAGAAGCTTAGCCTCTTCAAGCTGGGAACAAATGAAATATTAGCAGCAGTTTTCTTCTCCATTGCAGAAATATATCCAACAAACCGGGCCAAACTAGTTATATGGAAATTGGCAAGTAAATTTTTTTTTTAAATTTAAATAATAGGAACCAAAGGATCCATAAGTAGAAACCAAAAAGGAAAAATAAACTACCAGAAAACTTTACCAACAGATTGCAACATTCAAAGTAGTTAACTAAATTCAAAAATCATTCCATGTATTTACTCATGCAAACATCAAGAAACTAAGGAAATCTTGAACTTTGGAATTTGGAAAAGTAAATTTTCATTGAATGAGAGAAGTCAGATCCCAGATGTGAGTTTAGCAGGTACTGAAGTAAAGTCAGGACTTCATTGTACATTTTCACAGCACTTCTTCTCAGTTGAGGGTTTATGAGGAATCCTATGCATGCTAAATCTTTAAAAATGTTGACATTTGAGATAAATGTGCTCAACAAAGTGTTTTGAGGGCAAAGATTGACTCTCCTGAGCAATTTACATAGGAAGGCAAAAACTTGTGTCTCACAATCTCTATGTCCTGAAAACTTTATTTCTCTTCTAGGATGTAATAGAATTTTAGTTTTTTACTTTCTAGAGCTACAGCGATGTCAGAGGAAAATGAAAAACATATCCTACCAATCATTATCTATTAATCCACTAATAGCTATTTAAATAAACTACATCAAATATGCAAACAATAGAGCACCATTTGGAACTCAATCCTTAACTTTTGGAGCCTTTGTCAGTCTTCGTGAGAGAGAGAAAAAGAGAGACAGACAAAGAAAAAAGTCTGTTTCATAACAGTAGAAACATTGAAGATCTTGTAGTTCCAATTGCACATATAGGAGCCCTAGTTTTGATTGGTCATAAAGTAAGGATATTTTAGAGATGTTCTCTTCAAGCCTTAATTTGATTTGTTAGAACAAATTTTTCAGTCACTATCCGATTAAATGAATAATATGGTGCAAGACATCCTGCATCCATCGCATGCTGATTCAAAATGCATATTTATATTATAGGGTAACAATAAGATCTAGGACACACTTCAGGGCCTTCAGACTGTATTTTCAAAACTAGAAGCAAGTGGCCAAGGTTGTTTCTTTGATGGAGTAGTTTAGAAGAGCCCACAATTAGGAAGAGGATAAATTGTCATCAGTGTAGGAGAACTGAGCAGTAAAATCCTCAAACAATACCCTATACAATTGATTTAAAGAAAACTTTATACACACCCGTCCAAGCCAATAAAGGTTAGAATTTTCTTCTCCCATTTCAGCACAAAAACTCTTAAATTCATGCAAAAGCGAAGTAGCCTGAGAAAACCTCGAGCCCTGTGGATAACGAGAACAATTCAGGCAACTGAAACAATCCAAAGTAAATGATAATTAGCAGAATAGATCACCTTACGAAGTGTAGATGCAGATTCCAATAGATGTTGTACAGTACAGTTTGTACATTTCAGAATCTGAAGTAAAACTCTTCGAAATGCTATAAATGGTTCCAACAAATCCATGTGCAATTGTGCTTGTTTCAAAGTGTGAGTTGAATCCTTAACTAGCCATGATAACTGAATCAGTCCAATTCAAATTCAGTGGTCAGAAAAGCATGATCTAACTACAACAACCAATACACACACACGCACACACACACACACATATACCAAATCAGAATCTGCTTTATAAGAAATGAGACTACAAAGAATCACTGCACACTATCGCTACAGGATAAGATGAGTCCTGAGTGCTGCAAATCACAAAACTAAGGAGAAAGTGCAATGAACTTAATATACCTGGCTGCTTGATGGGACTACAGGTTCAGATATCAAAGTCTTCATCTCTGAGGAAGAATCAAGATTTTTACTTGATGAAGGCCAACGCAGATCCCATGCCATCCCAAGATGATAAATTATCTGCTTGAAAACACACCAGAATAACTTTATGAAGAATTTTGTATTGAGATCTTCAGTTTTACAAGAGCATTTCTGGATAACTAGAAACCTTAAGCACCTACTGATAAAATATAAACCAAGGCATCCCCAGTTCAGAAAATTTGATACCTGAATTTTAACTATTGCTAGATAAATGTATTTGGTGCTCTCCTCACTTGCTCGATAGATAGAAAGCAGAAGCTCCTAAATAAAAGTCAAGGATTAGCTTCAAAACAAGAAATTACTAGGGTATGGCTGTCCATTAACAGCCAACACCAACAGATAGAAAACAAAAAGTACCTGTTTTGAGTCCCTCAGTTTAGTGTGAAATTCACCAAAATCCCCTTCTTGTAATGCCCTCAAACAGCTGTATCACATACGGGACATTGTATAACATTGACAAAATCATATATAACATGTATAGCATGTTTGCGTGTGAAGTTTTTCCTTGTGCGATATATTTCGTTCACAGGTTTTCTAATTTAGATTTTATGTAAATTAGCAATTATCTTGTAAAATTAAGTGTCACAGTGCTTTACAGGACGCTTGAAATTTATATCTTAAGACAGGACTGGCGGTTTTAGGCAAAATGAGGGACCCATAATCTAATATTTTTGTTAACCTAATGTGCCAATATATTAACAAGGTCAGTGATGTTAGAGAATCTCCTAGTAATACATAATCCCATAGTTATCATGCACCTAAATGCTAGCTGGAACTAATGGATGCTCCTTGCTCAGATCATTTGGAATATTAATTTGGAAAGCCTCCTATGAAAATTGCATCTAAAGGCAGTTCTAAGATTAGAACTGCACAAGTATAAAAACTTCTTGTTCTAGTACAAAGAGAGAATTTCAAGCACCAAGTGAACAATTCTTGAGCAGAAGTTTATATGAATATACCTGTGCAAATTTTCATTGAAATGATCACCTTTGGTGTCTTGAACTGAAGGGAAGGTATTCGATCCACCATAGAGTAGTGAGAAATCCCAATTTCCTGCGCGCCAAGCAGCTTCGTACTACATATAGTTGACAAAGAACTTAAAAAGTGAACTATAACATCATGTAAGCAAGTGACCAGTAGAAGAAAATGTTAGGAAACCTGCAACTCAGTAAATTCTGGATCATGTTCAAACTGGCCTTTCTGAGAAGTCAACCACTGGCAACACACATCCAACAGGTGAGTACAACCAATTTGCTGCAATGATCGAATCAATCCTTTAAGGGGTTGCTTTCGCATTGACTCATCTGATCTGGAAGAATATGTATGAAATGCTGATTGAGAATTTTTAGCTGAAAGATGCTCCATCTGCCCTGCTGGTTCAGATCTAATTTGTAAATCATAGTACTCAAGGGCCTTGCTCCAATTCCCTTCATGTTCACAGGTAAGAATTTGAGAGGATAACTGCCAAAAACAAAGTAAAGGGAAAATAACGGTCAAAACTGGAATGAAGAAAGCTGAACTGAAAACCAAACATTGGAGATATTCATAAAAGCATTATGCACACTGAAAGACTTTTAACTTCTGAACAATTGACACATGTTATTGTTAAGAGCCCCACATTGAAAAATAAGAGGGTTTATAAGGTCATGGGTTAGACTAGGATTCAGTCTCTTAATGTGGTTTGGCCCATGAGCATTATAGCCTAGTTGAGTGACCTAGGCCCAATTTTAGATTCTAACAGTTATCAAAAGATGTAAAGCAAAATCCAGATTTGGTACTAGAGAATTTCCAAGTTCAATATAGTGAAGTATCTCTTGCCATCAACTTAGTTTCATTGTAAGGACAGAAGAGCAAGATGCATAAATTTCTTTATAGGCAGCAGTAGTCAATCCAAAGAAAATATGACAGCAGCACACAATTCCAGTTCAAAAATGAAGCAACTTTTCTTTCCTGTCTAACTAGGGAACTTAACTAGTGCATTGAGCATGATGTATCCAAACACAAGGAAATGATGAGAAAGGAAATCTAAAAATCCTATTTTGTATTTCCAGTTTTTAAAATCATTTTTGTAGTTATTTTGGAAAGTTGGATTGAAAAATCTTTAAAGAAAACATGTTCATTAGTTGTAACCTTGTAATTAGAAAAATAAAAAAGGAGGCAAATATGTTCAAATTTGGATCATTTTTGTAGAAAAAGAAGAAAAGTGTACAACTCTTCCTTACTGATCAAGTACAATGCACACACACATACATGAAAAAGAATTTTAGGTTATCAAAACTAGGCATAAACACATTAAGTGGACGGTTCAATAATAACTGTTCAACCCTTGGTATTAATTTCTCAACAATTTTCTTCATACAAAAAATACCAAAGCGAGTGGTGGTGGGAGGAGGAGAGCAGCAGTTATGGTGAGCAGTGGGGAACAGTAGCAACAGGATGTATTATGACTAACCTTATTACATTGGATGATGCCATAGAGGCTGTCAGGCTCATTTATTTGTGTAACTGCAGAGACTAGTATCTCAATGTGTTCTGGAAGCTGAAAGCCAAGACAAGAAAAAGTTAAATTCTTTGTATTAGTTATGCAGTTAGTATAGCACTATAGCAGTAAACCCAGTATCGATAGTTTGATTTCAGATTAGTGTTCTACAAACATTAAAAGCAGTTAAGAAACAACAAACTTGTCCATTAATAAGTCAAATCAAATGTGCATAGTACAAACTCACTATTTCAAGATGGGAGAAGTCTGGATTCCCCAAGGTAAGGCTGCTAAATCTTTCCTTGCACCAGTATTCCACATACAAAAGTGCACTAAAGTAAGCACCAGAAGTCTGAAAATAATATACAAAATAATAATTAATCCCACTCATTCTAGCAGCATAAGCCTCTACTGAAGTTAGCACACAATTTTGGGGTATGAAAGCAGGTAGATGCCTGGGTTTAAATCCCACTTGCTGCCCATCATCACAATTTACATGGCTTCATCTGTCCAAAAGAATTTGCCCCAGACATGAAGGAATATGTTCAAGGTGATAAATAAAATATTAAAATTTTCCCTCTCAAACACCTTGATGTGTTGAGTACAACTGAAAGGTGACACTAATAGACCGGGAGAAATACTAAAGATTAGGAAGTGAAACAATAATAGTGGAGAGTGTCAAGCTCTAGCACTCACAATTGCAAACTTGGCAACAACCAGATAGTCTATGGGAAGCCAATACACCTAACCAAGAAGAAAGAGAAAGAAGTCAAAGAACACAAGTCAGAAATATGTTAAAGAAATAAACAGGATAACTATCGCTTCTTACATATATTAAACACCAATACATGTTGGCAATAACAAATAAATAATCTTTGAAACCTTGATGTCATCAAACAAACTAAAATAGTTGTCTGTCACAATACTGATTAACATAATAGTTTAGAAATTATATTCAACTAGATTCCACATCAAAATTTCTTTGGTGCCTATTAGTCTATTACTACTAACAATGTGCAGCTATTGAGCAATTATTTTATTGAACACAAAATCATAAAATTAAATGTGCAATAGCACTTGCACAAAGCATAAAACATCAGGAATTCAGGATTGAAGATATATAGCAAAGTATATAGTAACCAACAAATTTTTTACCTTATCCCAAAGCAATGTGGAGAATGCAGATCCAGATGACGTTGTTGGCTGATCCTTCACCTTAACTATTGCAGAGCGGGATCTTGATCCATAACTTGAGGGCCTTGAGTATTGCTGAAAATATCAGGCAATATTGTTAATAATTAACAGCGAAATGTTGATAAAAATCATCCCACCACTCGCATCATATCAACCTTCAAATTTTCCTGCTTATGTGCAGTAGAAGACGAAATTGCTCGTTCAGTTACATGGCACAACCGAAGAACATTAAGTGCTTCTAGTACAACTTGAATTGATTTAGTCAGCTTGTTGCTCCCAGTAAAAATACTTTCCTGCACCTAAATACAAACATAGAGATAATAACTATTCCTCATTCAACATAGAGAGGAAGTGATAACCAACATTCAAATTTATAGACCATATGCATGTCACGGTTTAATTAGCCAAGGTAATCAGTATTATATTAGAGCATTAGTAGTTTGCTTTTATGCAACCTATCCTACATTGGCTGGGATTACGTTATAACTAACAGAATAATTGTAAGATAATTTTTAAAAGTTAAGAACAGCAAGAAGAGAACCTTTGTACAAATTAGCTGGCCAAGATCAACAGCCACATCTGTCCTCCTTGATAGGTTGGTAATCACTTCAGGAAATAGAAGTTCTGCAACTTCAGATTTCACCAACACAATTTCTTGACATAATCTAGAGGGATATGGAAAATTTTCATGTAAAATGTAGATCATCCAGGCAAGGCATAAAAAATGAGACAATTGCTCTTTTAAAGAAGAAACCCACCTTATAATAGTATCATTGCAATATCCAATTAGAGCATGCACAAGTGGGCATATCCATGTCTCAAAAGTTTTCTCATCAGTACTCCACAAAGTAGAACTCTCCAGTGAAGTAGCTTCAGCTGCCCATGGACAAGAAAATCAATCCTTTAGTCAATCCTCCACCTTCCACCCTACCCCTTAGAGAAGTAAGGGGGTAGCTTGACACATATAATAAGTAATAAAGACATAAATATAACTGCATAAGCATAAAACATAGAAGGAAAACAAACTAGAGTGGTAACTTTACCATTATACTTTCTCTCTAGATCTGAAACAAGTTTCTGTACCACATCCAGATTAAAACCTTTAGAGTGAACCTGCAACCACATACAAGTTGATAAGTACCACTTTATGTATAGAACTGATCACACTCCATATATCATGGTACTAGGATGACTTTCATTAATTCATTCATCTTCTGCAAAATGAAAACAAAATGTTATGTGCAATGGAAGAGAATATATACTACCAATGTAAAAGCCTCCCCACCCCCCACCCCCCAACTCACTATCCATCTAAAAGGAAAACCCTACAGAATGAGAAGAAAACATTAGACTTGAAATTTTCCACAAAAGGTAAACATCATGCACACACTCCAAAACTTTATCTTAAACCAAAAAAACAAAAAAACAAAAAAAAAAAAAAAAAAAAACAAAACAAAACAAAAAATCAAAAAAAAACAAAAAACAAAAAAACAAAAAAAAAACCTATTCCAACTCGCTCAATATTCATTTTACTCACATGAGATGGAGGGATGTCAGCAATTTGAAGTTCATAGCATATATTTTGAAAGTTAACATCTAAGAAGGTCTAGCATTTATTTCTGTTACCTCCATAAGCAACCTTTGATAGGAACCGAAAGATAATAAACATCTCCGACCTTTTTCTGTTGAAAGTATTCCCTGCTCAGTCAAAACTCAAAAATAAGGGTAGATTCAGACGTTCAGTAGTTCTTCAGAAGCAGTGACCAGAAAGAATCATGTCACCAACAACACAAGACAGTGAACCAAAATAAATGTAAATGAAATACACCTGAGAAAATAAATATAGTGTGTGATTAATGCGGTTGCGTGTATATGTGATTGAAGAATACTTGTCTAGATGCTCTACAATGGTGACACCTTTATAATATGATAACCAATTTGGGGATATTTCTGTGGACAATAAATTTTACACATCATTCATTCATTAGAGTATCCACATCACATGGAATCAGAGAAGGTCGCAATCTGAATTAAGGTAAAGCCTGACATCTGAGGAACTAGAAAATAATTGTTAAACATTATGCATATCTTCAGTCAACTTTAGAAATTACTAGGTGTAGACTAATTGGTAAACTTTGTGCTTTCTGTAGATTTCCTGTTTTTAACTGTACAATAAGTTCTATAGAGAGTTAGAGACACAAAACTAGCCTCTCTTCTGAAAATCAAAAGCTGAGGGGTCGTTTACTAAATTGGAAAAATGGAAAATTTTCTAGAAAAATGGAGAATTGGAGAAGTGGAAAAATGAAAAATGGAGAACTTGTTTACTAAATTTCTTCTTCCAAATTCAATCTCTATCTCTATTCTTCCACTTCTAATACAAATTTGGAGAATAGATAAAAAGCTTTCTCCAAATGGAGGAATGGACACGGGTGAACAGTAAATCGGATGAACAGTGCGTAAGGTCCAGAGATCGAATCTTGCGTGTAGCGCATGCCTGTATTTTGTTCTTCCCATTCTTCTTTCTTCTTTTTTCCCTCCCCGTCTTCCTCTTTTTTCCATTTCTTTCTTCTTTCTTCTTTCTTTCTTAATTTTTTTTCCCCAACGTCTTCCTCTTTTTTCCGTTTCTTTTATTATTATTATTATGGGAAAATGGCACTTTTTCCCCCTGAGTTATATACCTATAGCATTTTTTCCCCCTAAATTATTGAAGTGGCTGTTTTTCCCCCTGAAATGTTAAATGGACATATTTACCCTTAAACTAAATATTTAATTTATTTTTTTCTCCAACAAATTATGACCATAATTTGGTTCAAACTAAACAAACACTATAGCAACCAAACCGAAATATTCCAATTACAATTTAGAATCGAAATCCGATATTTAGAGTTTATTAAAATCGTGAACCGGAACGGACGGTTCATGTTCTGAACTGAAAAAATAAAATACATTTATTGTTGAATTTAGATTATTTTAAAATAAAAAATAAAATTTTAAAATAAAGACAGTTCAAAACTGCGAATCAGATCCGGAATCGCCGGTTCACGGTTCAAGATTCAATTTTTTTGAT